TCACAGCTGCTCAGGAGGCTGAGGCAGGAGAATTACTTGAACCTGGGAGGCGGAGGTTGCAGTGAGCCGAGATCGCACCACTGCAGTCCAGCCTGGGTGACAGAGCGAGACTCCATCTCAGGGAAAAAAAAAAAACCAGAAGCATTTTAACCCAATTCATTATAAAGAGTTGTTGGGCATTTAATATGACATCTGACAAGCAGCAAGTACTTAATAAGTGTTAGCTACTGTTTTTATGCCCTGTCTCCATAATGACTGTTTTACATTTTTTTTCCACAAAAATTAGTTATAAGCATGTGTCGAAGTTCTATTTTAAGCTTGTCACAAAGCCAAGTCAATAGTTTCCTTTTGTTAAGGATATTTCAAAGGAAAAGAGAATGGTTGGATAATCATTATTAAACTGAATACAAGACAAAGAAAGTGTAATAATTACCCAAGTGTTTGGGTAGCTAATTTCCCCAAAGAGGTTTTAATCTTGTTAAAGTTTATCAGAAAATTGCTTAAGCATTTATCGGGAATGCTAATGTCCTCCCAGAAGGAGGTTGTGAATTGTATCATGAAAGAGTTCTAACCCAGGCTAAGAATGGGACACTCTTCTTAATCAGACCCATAAGAATCGGCAGAGCACCGTGCCTCACACCTATAATACCAGCACCTTGCGACACCGAGGCAGGAAGATCACTTGAAGCCAGAAGTTCAAGATCAGCCTGGCCAACATGGTGAAACCCCGTCTCTACTAAATAAAAAAATTTAAAAATACAAAAATCAGCTAGGTGAGATGAAGTATGCCTGTAATCCCAACTACTGGGGAGGCTAAGGCACGAGAATGGCTTGAACCCTGGAGGCAGAAGTTGCAGTGAGCTGAGATTGTGCCACTGCACTCCAGCCTGGGTGACAGAGCGAGACTTTGTCTCAAAAAAAAAAAAAAAAAGGTATTAAAAAAAAAAAAAAAAAAAAAAACTACAGCTACCACTAATTGAGGGCCTATTGCATGCAAGTGACTTGGCATATTTTATCACTAGTTCTCACAATGATTGTGCAAGATAGGTATTATTAGCTACATTTTATAGATAAGGAAACAGAAGCTAGAGAAGGCGAAGTGAGCTGCTTAGTAGTATGCAAGTCACATACAGCTAGTAAATGGTGAAGGTGGAATCTGAACCCACATCTGTGACTCCTTTTCCCCCCAGGATATATAGCCTGTCTCTGTGAAAATCAGTCTCTCTCTCCTCCTCCCCACCAGCCCCCTGTACATGTGTGTGTCTGTCTGTCTCCAGCTGCAGCTCCATCTGTCTCTCTGCCTGTTTCTTTCTCATCTGTGGGTAGGTTCCTATCACTTCCTTTCCTGGTCCACGCCTTGGGTGCCTTCCTGGCGAAATGTGCTTCACCAGTGAGGCCTCCTGATCGTTCTGCATCATCACAAGCTGGCCTGGATTATTTTTCTTACCTCTACTCAGTCTAGTTTGCTCTCTACCTTCCTAATCCAGCAAGGACTTGAAAGCAGTGGTCATCTGCTGTGAGTAAAAGATCCAAGTAAGAAAAATGAAAGCTAAACTAGGAGCAGAAACAAAAGGAAAAGATAGAAACAAAACCCGGTTTCTTGGCAGGGCCATGGCTCTTAGGGACAGAATGACCCAAGGTCAGTCAAACCTGGACCCTAAAGCAGGAAGGGCCTCTGGCCTTTTCACTCAGCAAGATGCCCAGGGAACAACCCAGAACATAGTGAATCTTGCCTAGGACACTGTTACATTCCCAGGGACTTGTAAGCCCTAACAATCACTATCCTCCTCCCCCTCCTCCTCATCAAACACATTTATTAAGTAGCCTAATTATTAAACAAGGCAGGCAGGTGGAAGAGAAAGGTGGGAAATTGGAGGGTTGAATCAAGCTTTTTAAAAAGCCAGAAAAATGACTCACTGTGTGGAACACTTCATTTGGAGAAAAAGGTGGATGTTCCTGATCCAGCCAGGTGCATTGTTAGAGCTGTAGGGGAGAGATAGGGAAACAGAACATTTTTTTCTCTCNAAAAAAAAAAAAAAAAAAGAATCATGGCTGACATTTCCTGAGCCTTCACTCTGGCATGTAGACTGGAGCTGTGTCACAGGCTTGGCTTAGAAGCAGGTTCTGGATGCATTTCATCATTGACGCCCACACACCCCAGCATGCTTGGTTCAGTGTAGGACTCTGCAGGTGCACACGACATGCTGATGAGAGGTGTGAGAGGGAGCAGTGGCCATCATGTTCCAGGCCTTTGCAAACTGTGGGACACACACCCTCTCCACACCACCAAGATGGAAACAAACAGGCTTCTGAGAGTAGAAAGACCACCCATTGCTCCCCGTTTCATTGGGTATGAGTTTGTGCTATTTGGGAGAATGTGACTTGCTAGGTTTTCTGTCCAACACCATAAAAGACTCCTTCCTTGTCAGGGAGATCACAAGGCGCTTTGTTCTGGCCACAGAGCCTGTTAGAGCAACCAAAGGCTCATTACCAAGCATGGATGCCTTTCCTCTGACAGACAATGAAGAATTGGATCCAAGTTGCTCATTAAGTTCCTTAGGGAGTTGTTGGACATCTTGCTACTGTATGAACAAACAGATGGATCTGGCTGCTGGCTGCAAGGATACTTTGGAAAGAGGAGGTCTGCCTACCCATCATGAAGAGAAAAATATTATACTGGGATGGGGTGCATCATCTTCAACCGGTTTGGGGGTGAGGGCAGTGGTTCTCATGTGGTCCTCTGACCAGCAGTATCAGCATCACCTGGAAATTTGTTAGACGTGAGAATGTGCCCCAGCGCAGTGGCTCACGCCTATAATCCCAGCATTTTGGGAGGCTGAGGCAGGTGGATCACTTAAGGTCAGGAGTTCGAGACCAGCCTGGCCAACATGGTAAAAACCCATCTCTACTAAAAATAGAAAAATTAGCTGGGTGTGGTGGCAAGTGCTTATAATCCCAGCTACCCAGGAGGCTGAGGCAGAATTGCTTCAACCCAAGAGACAGAGGTTGCAATGAGCCAAGATCTTGCCACTGCACTCCAGCATGGGTGACAGAGTGAGACTCCATCTCAAAAAACAAAAAAGAAGTGAGGATGCTTGGTCCCCATCCCAAATCTACTGAATCAAAAACTCAGCGGAGGCCAAGGGTGGTGGCTCACGCCTGCAATCTAAGCACTTTGGGAGCACTTTGGGAGGCTGAGGCAGATGGATCACGAAGTCAGAAGATCAAGACCGTCCTGGCTAACACAGTGAAACCCTGTCTCTACTAAAAATACAAAAAATTAGCCAGGCGTGGTGGCACGCACCTGTAGTCCCAGCTACTCAGGAGGCTGAGGCAGGAGAATCCCTTGAACCCGGGAGGCAGAGGTTGAGCCGAGATCAAGCCACTGAACTCTCCAGCCTGGGAGACAGAAAGAGACTCCGTCTCAAAAAAAACAAAACAAAAACTCAGGGGAGGGGCCCAGCAATCTGTGCATAACAAACGTTGTAGGTGATTCAGATGCATATTCGTTTGAGTAGAATTAAATTTTTTTTTTTTTTTAAAAAGAGTCTCTCTGTCAACCACGCTGGAGTGAAGTGGTGTGATCCTGACACTGCAGCCTCTGCCTCTGCATTTAAGAGATTCTCAGGCCTCAGCCTCCCGAGTAGCTGAGATTACAGATGCACGGCTAATTTTTTGTATTTTTAGTAGAGACGGGGTTTCACATGTTGGCCATGCTGGTCTCATCAGTCAATTCACCCACTGCAGCCTCCCAAAATGCTAGGATTACAGGCATGAGCCACCATGCCTGGCCCTGAGTTAAATTAAATTATCGTATCTTTTCCTCTTTCCTTCTTATTTCACTTCCTAGCATCTTCTCTTTCTCCCCATTCTCTCCCATCGATTCTCCCTCACAAACCAGCAACACCTTCTCAGAGGCCACTGGAGGGTTTGATCTAAGTGCTCAAGTGAGTAGCAAGACTTTTTGAGAGATCACTAAGATAGGAGATGATCAAGCTCCAGAACACTGTTACATTCTCCCAGTGGAACCTCTGAGAGCAGACCTGCCTGCTCATCAAGGAGACATCTTGATGGCCATCTACGGCCATAACAGCACATAGTTCTGAGGCAGAAACAAATCCGGGCCAGAGTCTGGAGCCTGTGCTGTCCTAGAGCCAGCTTTAGTTGATCATAAGAATGTTTGGAGCAAAATAGCATAGGAAAAGAACAGCAGTGGGAGAAAAGGTGGAAGCCACAGGTAACCACAGAGAGGCCTGAAGCAATGAAGCTATTCAGAGAAAAACACCACGAACAGCCCCCAGGATGGATCCGTCAGAACACATCAGCACTGGCTGGGTGCAGTGGCTAATGCCTGTAATCCCAGCACCTTGGGATGCTAAGGTGGGCAGATCATCTAGGTCAGGAGTTCAAGACCAGCATGGCCAAGATGGTGAAACCCTCTCTCTACTAAAAACACAAAAATTAGCCAGGCGTGGTGGCTGATACCCGCGATCCCAGTACTCGGGAGGACAAGGTGAAAGGACAGCTTGAGCCCAGGAGTTTCAGAGCAGCCTGGGCAACGTAGCAAGACCCGGTCTCTTAAAAGAAAAATTAGCAGCCAGGCAAGGTGGCTCACATCTGTAATCCCAGCACTTTGGGAGGCTGAGGTAGGTAGATCATAAGGTCAGGAGTCAAGACCAGCCTGGCCAAGATGGTGAAACCCCGTCACTACTAAAAATACAAAAATATGCCAGGCATGGGTGGTAGGCACCTGTAATCCCAGCTACTCAGAAGGCTGAGGCAGAATTGCTTTCACCCAGGAGGCAGAGGTTGCAGTGAGCCAAGATTGTGCCACTGCACTCTAGCCTGGGGGACAGAGCAAGACTTCGTCTCAAGAAGAAAAAAAAAAAAAAAAAAAAATGGAAAGGCTCAAAGAGTGAAAAATCATCAGAGCTATGGCCTACTTTCCCCAAAGCCAGCCTTGCAGGCTCACGGCTGTCACTGACTTAAGAGGCAGGCGGAGCAATTCTGTAAGGTTTATTGAATAAGTGGATAAAAAGTGAACGACAGCTACAAATTCAAGAGTAAAACTCTTGGTTATTAAAGTCATTCCAGGCATGGACAGGGGGATGCAGGGCTGGCCTTCCCTGTCCACAGTCCTCCGAGGCAGCTGAAGTCTTCCATGTCTGGATCCCGAATCTTGTGCAAAGTGAATAGTGGATCCAGGGTGCTCTGAGCAGGCAGCAGGGAGCAGCTCTGGAAATGCTTTATGTGGTGGTCTCGCTAGTCTCTGTCCCTCTGGTGTCCACAAACACCACCAAGAGATTCTGAAACACAGGACAGGTGAGACCAGTGATTTGAGGTTCCCAACTGTGTAAACACAGACCAGCTGAGCCTCTGGCTGTGGGTTCTGGCTCTTGGCATCAACTCACCATGGTGGGAAATATGAGCAAACCCAGAACTCCAGGGTCTTAGGACTTCCTTGGAGCATCCTTGGATCTACGGCTGAGACCTAAGAGGGTAAGAAAACATACAAGTATTTAGTCTCGAAGGCCATCTCCTCCTCCCTAAGCTGACACCGCTGAGAGGGGTCCCATCCAAGCAGGCCGGCTAAAGCGCCTCATCCATGCACACCCAATTACAATACCAACAGAAAGGGCACAAAAGGACAAACATCTTAGAAGTTCCATTTTTCTTTCAAGCAGTTCGCAATCAGGGCAAGTGACCAGCTAGAGTAACCCACAGGAATATGGCTTTCCTAGCCCCACCTACAACGTTCTCCATTTATTTGACGTTAGGACAGCTCCCGAAGGAACAATGCACCATTTCACACTTCGTGAAGCAGAGCCCATGATTCACAATTCTCACGTGTGCCCTTCACTGCTATCTGAATTCATTCCAGTGTGGGGCCCACAGAGAAATGCAGACTGGTTTCTGGCAGAATCCTTAACATGAAATACAAAGTGAACCCTCAGAAGTCAGGGGGCGGGTCTAGCCACCACATCACATGGGCCCACAAAGGCCCACACTCTGAGGCTCTAACAGGAGAAAGGCTGCAGCATGGGAAAACTCCAGGGTTTGGAAGGGAAGGCTGGCCCAGCACAGGGAAGATGTCTCTCAGCACTCCCACCCCTGCACCATCAATGATCAGGGCACAACCCATGGTCACTTTCCAACATAAGAGCAGGGAAGGACAGAAAGACAGCATCAGGAGCCTGGGGGATGGTCTGAGGCAGGGAGAGCAGCCCAGCTGAGCAGAGCCCCAGCCACGGCCACCGGGTCCTTCTAAGACCCCAAAAGGAATCAAAAGACACTTCCAGCATTAAAAAAAAAATGGAAATGCTTTTGGATTGGTAAAGGTCAGGAGCATGTGGTCCTAACATCATACACACACACCCCGAAATAAAAACTCACTGTTAATCCAGATCACAGCACACTGCAGACACACCAGCGCTCGGGGGAGGAAGGGTCCCCCAGGGAGCTCACTTTACCCATGCAGATTTCGGGAGGCCCTTCTTCTGCAGCAGCCACTGAAGGCATGTGAGCGACTGCCCCGCAGCAGGTCAGAACGGGAAACCACAGGATACCCCTTTCACCTTGCTTCCCCTACATCATCCAAGCCCCAGGGAACAAGCACATGACTTTGTAGGATGCAAAAAAACCTATGTCAGACAACAGTCCAAAAATCTCACCTCAGGGACCCATGGTCCAGCGCCCTGCTGCTATGAAGACAACACATCCCACGGAGCCTCTGCACACAGCAGGCCCATCTGCAACAGACAGAGAACACTTAACACTTAAGCATGCCACAAACACAGCTGCCTCAATTAGTACTTACTGTCTCAGGAACAAGAAAAACGTAACTCTAGGAAGGGATCTGCAGACAATCTGTGACAGAAATAGCATCTATGCTATCCTCGTGCCCACTGTGTGCTGCTTATCAGTATATATTGAATAGACCCAGCCACTTCTGGACACATACTTAAAGAAGGTCAAATCACACCTAATAAAGATATCTGCACTCCAATATTCACTGCGGCATTACTCCCAAACGCCAACACACGGAAAGAATCTAAGTGTCCATCAACAGATGAATGGAAAAAGAAAATGTGGTGCGCGCGTGCACACACACACACCCAGAACTTTGTGTATTATTCAGCCTTAAAAAGAAGACCCTTGGCTGGGCACAACTTTGGGAGACTGAGGTGGGTGGATCACCTGAGGTCAGGAGTTCAAGACCAGCCTGACCAACATGGTGAAACTCCATCTCTAAAAATACAAAAAATTAGCCAGGCATGGTAGCACACACCTGTAATCCCAGCTACTCAGGAGGCTGAGGCAGGAGAATGACTTAAACCTGGGAGGTGGAGGCTGCAGTGAGCTGAGATCACACCACTGCACTCCAGCCTGGCTGGACACAGTGGCTCATGCCTGTAACTCCAGCACTTTTGGAGGCCAAGGCAGAAGGAGATGGATTGAGCGCAGGAGTTGGAGACTGCCTTGGGCAACATTGCAAAACCCCATCTCTACAAAAAATACAAAAATTAGCCAGGCATGGCGGCAGGCATCTGCAGTCCTGGCCACTCAGGAGGCTGAGGTGGGAGGATCACTTAAGCCCAGAAGACAGAGGCTGCAGTGAGCTGTGATCACACCATTGCACTTCAGCCTGGGTGACAGGAGACCCTGTCTCAAAAAAAAAATAAATAAATAAAAGAGAGAGAAAGATCCTGTCATGTACTACAACATGGATGGACCTGGAGAATATTATGTTAAATGAAATAAGCTAGACACAGAAAGACAAACAGTGCACATCTTACTTATGTGTGCAATGTCGTTGTTTTTTTTTTTTAAAAAAAGGTCAAATATACAAAGAGAGAATAAAATGGTGATTACCATGGGCAGGAGTGGGAAGAAATAGGGAGATGCAGGTTAAAGGACACCAAGGAGCAGATACAAAGGATGCATAAGCCTAGAGGTCTCACACACAACATCAGGGATTTCTGTCAAGTAGATTTCAGCTGCTCCTCACACACACTAAAAACAGTGACTGTCTGCTTTACCACAGTAACCACTGTGCTATCTCTATCTGTCCCAAGACATGTTGTAAATTTCAAATATAGACAATAAAAAATTTTAAAACAGGTTGGGCATGGTGGCTCACACCTGTAATCCCAAGACTTTGGGAGGCTGAGGCATCACACGAGGCCAGGATTTCGAAACCAGCATAGCTAATGTGGTGGAACCCCATCACCACTAAAAGTACAAAAATTAGCCAGGCATGGTGGTGCACATCTTTAATCCCAACTACTTGGGAGGCTGAGGCACGAGAATCACTTGAACCCGGGAAGCAGAGGTTGCAGTGAGTCATGTTTGCACCACTGCACTCCAGGCTGGGCAACAGAGCGAGACTCCATCTCAACAGAGTTCGAGCATGACAGCCAGGTACCAAGAGGTAACATCACTGGTGACAATAAACACATGTACGAAAGCTCCAGAGTTTGCAAGGGACAGGAGTGGACCCTCCAAACACGGGGAAGCGCTTTCATTGATTCCTCTCCCTGCACTATCAATGACCAGGGCACGGGCAGCCCACGATCACTTTCGAATACAGGGGCAAAACAGGGCAGTAAGTGAGCTGAGAGGGGAGGCATTGCCAGCAGCTTAGGAAGGGCCCAAACTAAGAGACCTGGAAATAAGCCAGTGGCCAGGTTTGCAGCCTAGAATCGTAGCAGCTGCTTCTGATTCTTATACCTGGAGAGCATGTTAAGCCAGATTGCTGGCTGCAGCACCAAAACTTCTGACTTAGTAGGCCTGGGACAGGGTCTACGAACTTGCACCTTTTTTTTAAATGGAATCTCACTCTGTCTCCCAGGCTGGAGTGCAGTGGCACGATCTAGCAGTAGAGTGCCAGGGGAGGAAAAGACAGGGGGGCCACATGTCCCTGGGGGCCTCAGTGGAGGGGCAAGCAATGGGAAGCAGCCCCTGCCTCCCCTCCAGTGACCTCAAAGCCTCTATCCTTGCTGCCTGAACATCCGTGCATTCTCTGGAGAAGCACCCAGGAGTCAGACCTTACAAGCACCACAGTTCAGCCTCTTCTTGAAGACACGTCACCTGGGGCCGCTGGGGCCGCTGGGCACACAGGACAGAGGTCAGCTGACAATCCTGCAATGACAAGAAGCCACACACATTACTTGTTGTAACACATCCCACTAACCAACATGTTCAGCAGGAAGATGACAACCTCTCAATGGGGTAGACCGGCTGCGTCAGTGACTTCCTTTTGGCCCCCCCTCTCCAGCTTTGTTCCTGATCTTACAACTCTCCCCATGCCTCCAGGGGCAACCTGAGAACCAGTCATCCTCAGGGGAGCCATGAAGGCCAGCACAAAAGGCAGGGGAATTACGAGCCGGGAACTAACGCCAATGCATGACCTCAGAGTTCTCTAAGGGGTGGAAAACACCAAATCTGCTCCCACCAAGCCCACCCTGGTGCTGACTCCGCATTTTCTCCAATGCCCCGAAATGCAATGAACCCAATCTCCTTACAATGGAGGGACTCTCCCTTTCTTGTATTTCTTACTTGAGACAGGGTCTCACTCTGTTGCCCAGGCTGAGTGCAGTGGCGTGACCATGGCTCACTGCAGCCTTGACCTCCAGGGCTCAAGAGAGCCTCCTGCCTTAGCCTCCTGAGTAGCAGGGACTACAGGGGCACGCAGCACTGCCAGGCCTGGCCAGTTTTTTAGTTCTTATGGAGGCGAGGTTGCCCAGGCTGCTGTGTTTCCTGTCCCACACTGTCAGAGCACTGACCATCAGGCAGACAGAACAAAGCAGGGAACAAAATTCAGACCCTGCCCTTAAGACCACAGCAAAGAGAGCCAGGAGACAAGTCAGGCCACAATTTCCGCGGGGTCAGCATGGTGTAGAGGGGGTTGGCTAAGGATGTGGAAGGAGAGGCGTGGAGGCGGAGAACGTTTCCGGGAGGAAGGCGCAGAGCAGCCCTGCCTCAGCTCCACACCCAGCCCTTCTGCTCCCTGAAGCCAAACCCATCACCCCACACCCTTCCCTCATGTCTCACAGTAAGCTGCCCTGAGCCAGGGAGAAGAGCAACACGACCCACTAGATGACGCCAGGCACCAGGAGGCATCTAAGAGGCGGTGGGAGGGAGGAGGTGTGGGAAAGCTCCAGGGTTTGGAAGAGACAGGAGTGGACCCTCCAAACACGGGGAAATGCTCTCGGCAGTTCCTCTCCCTGCACTACCAATGACCAGGGCACGGGCAGCCCATGATCACTTTCGAATGCAGGAGCAGAAAGGGCAGAGGGCAAGCCCAGAAAGAAGGGCAATGCCAGCATTCTGGGCAATGGACTTACCTGGAACAGAACAGCTAACAGGGCAATGACCACACTTAATAGCCTAAGATTACAGGTGCTGCTAATGATTCCCAGAGATCATTTACCACTCCCTGCCAGGAGTTGAAAGGGAGGCAAACATGGGCAGAAATATTGAGAATCCTGGGGTTCTTCTAGAAGACTGGGCTGGCCGGGTACGGAGGCTCACGCCTGTAATCCCAACACTTTGGGAGGCTGAGATGGGTCGATCACCTGGGATCAGGGGTTCGAGACCAGCCTGACCAACATGGCAATATCTCGTATCTACTAAAAATACAAAAAAATTAGCCAGGCATGGTGGTGGTCACCTGTAATCTCAGCTACTTGGGAGGCTGAGGCAGGAGAATCACCTGAACCCAAGAAGCAGAGGTGGCAGTGAGTTGAGATCGTGCCACTGCACTCCAGCCTGCCAGCCTGGGTGACAGAGCGAGACTCTGTCTCAAAAATAAATAAATAAAAATAAGACCAGACATGTTGGCTCACGCCTATAATTCCAGCACTTTGGAAGGCCGAGGAGGGCGGATCATGAGGTCAGGAGATCAAGATCAGCCTGGCCAACATGGTGAAACCCCGTCTCTATTAAAAAATAAATAAATAGGGCTGGGCACAGTGGCTCACGCCTATAATCCCAGCACTTTGGCAGGCCAAGGCGGGTGGATCACACGGTCAAGAGATCGAGACCATCCTGGTCAACGTGGTGAAACCCCGTCTCTAATAAAAATACAAAAAAATTAGCTGGGCATGGTGGCACACGCCTGTAGTCCCAGCTACTCAGGAGGCTGAGGCAGGGGAATTGCTCGAATCCAGGAGACAGAGGTTGTGGTGAGCCGAGACTGCCATTGCACTCCAGCCTGGGTAACAAGAGTGAAACTCCGTCTCAAAAAATAAATAAATAAATAAATAAACAAAAAGGTGGGGCATGGTGGCTGACGCTTGTAATCCCAGCACTCTGGGAGGCCAAGGCAGGCAGATCACCTGAGGTTAGGAGTTTGAAACCAGCCTGGCCAACATGGCAAACTCCATCTCTACTAAAAATATAAAAATTAGCCAGGCGTGGTGACAGGCACCTATAATCCTGGCTACTCGGGAGGCTGAAGAAGGGAGAATCGCTTGAACCCAGGAGGTGGAGGTTACAGTGAGCCGAGATTGTGCCATTGCACTCCAGCCTTGGCGACACAGCAAGACTCTGTCTCAAAAATAAATAAATAAATAAATAAATAAATAAATAAATAAAACAGTGGGCTGGAGGGGTACCAATATTGACTATCTGACATTGTTTTCACTGAGGCTCACAGAAGACCACTCAACCGGCCACTGGATTCCAGGCTTGAATCTGAAATGCGGCCCCCTCTGTCCCTTCCAACACACTGCTTTCCTCTCAACATCACGGCTTCTTTTTCAGGGACTCTCAAATCAAGTTCAGGGAGCACCTTCTCAGCAGGAACCCCATGAAGGCAGAAGAAGGCCCAGACTTGTCCCTGCCTGCTGAGGGGGGAAAGACAGGGGCAAAGGGAAGCCGCCTTCACCTGTGTCCCTGTTCCCCACTCCCCAGCACCCAAATACCTCTGGCCTCGCAGCCTGCAGAGAACTTGAGTTCTAGAGAACCAGTCAGGACCTCACTTACCTGGAACCTCAGGATCCATGCTGTCCCAGAGGACATCTCTCACATGCATGGGGCAGCAGTTGTGTGACACTCCTGCAGGAAGAAAAAGCCAACATGTAACTGATGCATGCGGCACTACTTATGACAAGTCCAGGAACCCACTACATTCACCCACAGAAAACACACCTGGGGAATCAGGGTGTCAGGAGGTGAACGTACTGACAGCTTGTCTTGCCCACCCTGGGTCACTGACACAGTGCCCGGACGCCACCCTGTCTGAAATGGACAACAGCTCCTCTACACAAGAGGAAAACCTTGTAACTTTTCCTTTATTACCAACTTTTCCTTTAGTAACCAAGACACAGCAGCCTGTCATCACTTTGCAGAATAGCTGGGATTACAAGCACCTGCCACCACACCTAGCTAATTTTTCTATTTTTTAGTAGAGATGGGGTTTCACCATGTTGGCCAGGCTGGTCTCGAACTCCCGGCCTCAAGTGATCCACCCGCCTCCGCGTCCGCGTCCGCGTCCGCGTCCGCCTCCGCGTCCGCCTCCGCCTCCCAGATTACAGGCGTGAGCCACCACACCTGGCCCACCTCCTATTTTCCATAACTGCTGAAAATCAACCATCTGCCAAGCACCAGTTAAGTCAAGAGATCAAGACTCAGATACTGAGACAGGCAAGGTGGTTCACACCTGTAATTCCAGCACTTTGGGAGACTGAGGATCACTTGTGACCAGGAATTCAAGACCAGCCTGGGCAACACAGCAAGACCCTGTCTGTCCCAGCTACTCAGGAGGCTGAGGTGGAAGGATCACTTGAGTCCAGGAGTTCAAGCTATGATCACGCCACTGCACCCCAACCTGGACAACAGAGTGAGACCCTGTCTCTAATAAAATACAATAAAATATCTGCCCTGAAGGTCACAATAGAAAGAGCCAAAGACAATCAAACCAGTAATTGCCACAGGGTGTGACTGGGGGGGACAGGGGCCAGTGGCTGTGGCTCTACCACCAATCATTCGTTCCCTGAGGCAGGGACCCACCCCCATACAACTTGGTGAGTGCCTCCCAGACCCCTGCAATGAGCCTTGCTCAGCCTTGCACTGAGCACTCAGTAATAACCAGACACCAAGTGCCAGGAGGCATCTGAAAGATGGTGAGAAAGAGATGTGAGAAAACTCCAGAGTTTGGAAGGGACAGGAGTGGACCCTCCAAACACGGGGAAGTGCTTTCAGCGATTTCTCTCCCTGCACTATCAATGACCAGGGCACGGGCAGCCCACGGTCACTTTCGAATACAGGGGCAATGAAGGGGAGGTGAGCCCACCTTAGCATGCTAACTGCCAGATCTCCAGAGGGGGGGTCACCCCCAGGGAAGAGAAAGGTACCCAGGACCCTGAGAGCCATCATCACTTTACAGACAGATACCACGTGTCCCCACCCAGAGTCCAAAGGAAAACCGACTTCTGGTAATAATGCCTCAGCTGTACATTCAGCCCACCAATTCTGAGTTATCTACACGTGGCCAGGCACCACGGGTTCAAAATCAAGAAAAATAGCCAAGCCTCTGCCCTCAGAGAGCTTTTGCAGTTTCTCTACTTTACAGAAAACCAACCTCAGGAGAATGAAGGAACTTGGCCAGGACGTGACCCCCAAGCCCAGCCCCTATCTCCTACATCAGCGTTGCTCTGCACCCGCTTTGGCAGACAGTTCTCAGAACCCAGAATTGGCTGAGCTCTGACTATCCCCTCTACTGGGCCCCGAAGGTGCGCATAAGCTGCATCACGTACGCAGGGACATACTACTCACCCCCGGACACTGGAAGCCCCTCAGGGGGTGCAGACCAGAGTGCTGCAGGAGAGAACGGGGCGCTGGCTGGTGCGAAGCCGGCCGACAAGCCGCACAGCCCACGAGGCCTAGGTAGGGAAAAGCACGGGGAAGGGGCTTTTAGTACAAGGCCCGGGGACAGAAGTCCAGACTGTCCCACTAGGGTCCTGGGAGTGTCTTCCATTTAAACCTCAGCTAACTGGCATGTTAAACGGACGTTCTAACAACTACTTTTATTTATTGATCTTTTCTAAAGCTCTGAAGTGATCTTCTTTGACTCCATCTAACAACCACTTTTAAAAGTTATTCAGCGGAAAATGAGTTAACAGTCCCAAGGACATGGCACAATCACTAACACGCTGTAGGCAACCAACAAGTGGTTTTGGGGGCTTCCAATGCCAGGAGTCGGGGGCGGGCAGCGAAAAGTCACCGAGCCCTGTTTCCCGTCATCCAGGGGCACTGTCTCCCCGCAGAGTGGCTGCGTGGACAGAGGGGTCTGATGTATGCACGTGGCCGGCTCAGCGCAGCTGCGGCCGAGGGCGCGGCTCATCCGCCAGTGTCTTTCTCTAGGACACGCGAATCCCGGGGGGCTCACTCCGGCAGAGGGGACGAAGCACTGCACCAGAGGCCGGGCCTGACCTCTCTGGCCGTCTTCCCCAGGGCCTCAGTTTCCCCCGATGGTGATAGTGACACAGACAACGGGCCCCGCTGTTGACTTACCCGGCGTCCTGGCGTCGAGCGGCGGCGGAGACGTGGCAGACAGCGCGGGAAAAATCAGGATGTCTGCAGATTTCTAGAGATGGCGTGCGGTGGCTTGCGATGGCGTGCGATGGCGCGCGATGGCGCGGGACAGCAAAGGACCGCAGCTGCAAGACCAGGAATCTACACTCATTTCGCGCGGGCGGAAATACAGATGAGAGCGCGGACTGCGGCCTAGAGCGGGCGGAACCGACGCAAGCAGCCCTGCAGCGTCCCCTGGCGGGACGGAGCTCAACTTCAGACTCTGGAGGACTTGGGATGATATCTGAAAGCGGTGTGGAAGTTTAGAAGTAAACTTCCCCCCCTTGCTTTGCTTTTCTGTTTGTTCTGAAGATCTTCCTTGGTTACTGATTCATTATTAATCTGTAGGAATGGCCAATTTCCCATGATAGGAGCTGTTACTACGATGAGGGGACTGTGCTTAGTTTGGACTTCTTTCTGCAAGGTTCCGAAGGCATCTGCCTTTGATTCACCACTGTACTCAGTACCTAGTTCAGTGGCTAGCACAGTTGAATGAATGAATTCTACCCCCACCCCCACATTCCTTTTTGTTCTGAACAATGTCAGACTGAGATGACAGTCTTGGCCTAAGACTGGAATGTGAGGGTGAGATGAGCCCAGAGAGGTACACAGGGGATCATTGCTTTGCTAAACTCCAGCCTCAAAGTACACGGGGTGGAGGGTAGAAAGAGTCTCTGAAGCAGGAGAGACCTGACCAGATTTGCATTTGAGGAACCTGATCAGATTTGCACAGTGACGGAGACTATAGACAGATATCCCACGTTCCCTGCAGAGTAGTGGAGACAATCTTGGGAAGGGACTTGTGGCCCACAGATCCACATAAGCACTGGCACTGCCTGCATCCTGGGCAGAGTGAGCCTCTTGGACCTGAGACAGCCCTGCTACTGACTCTGCCCATGGTCTGGAGTGTAGGCAGCCTACCCTCGGGCCTGAGCAGGAGCCCCCACCCCAGTCAGGTTCTTGGTACTCAGTAGGTCAGAAGAACGAGGAAATCCAGGCCTGACCTATGCAATCGTGAAGGAAATGGGGGGTCCCTGAGGTGAGATCCGCTCCATATTTTGTACCTGGGAGAAGCCCATAGGATTCCAAGACTGTGAGAACCTTGGGAGTCTCTGTGATGGGGAGGGGCTGTGGGATGCTGCTATGGTTTGGTGTGACCCCACCTAAATCTCATCTGGAGCTGTGCTTCTCATAATCCCCACGTTTTGCTGTTGTGGGAGGTAATTGAATCATGGATCGGTTATCCTGTGCTGCTGTTCTTGTGATAGTGAGTGAGTTCTCATGAGATCTGATGGTTTTATAAGGGGCTTTCCCCCTTTTGCTGGATACTTCTTGCTGCCACCATGTGAAGAAAGATGTGTTTAGGCCGGGCGCGGTGGCTCAAGCCTGTAATCCCAGCACTTTGGGAGGCCGAGGCGGGTGGATCATGAGGTCAAGAGATCGAGACCATCCTGGTCAACATGGTGAAACCCCGTCTCTACTAA